CATGGTCAGGCGCGACTTCTAGCTCCCTGCCACGATCCATCACAGGAATTGAAATCCATTTAGGACTATTAGGGCCTCTAGGCACTGATATATGTTTAACCGTCACTGGAAGGTGGGCCATAAATCGCCTTGAACGAGAGTGAGGCCTACAGGTTGGCAGGTCTGCGGTGGCCTCTCCCGCATTTGGCCCCTGGGATGCCCGCTCCCTCTGGTCAGGCCTGGCCGGAGCTCTGCCACTGCCTAGCACTGCTGGCCTGGTGACTGCAAATCCTCCCTGGGGACGTGCTGTCCTTGAATTACCTTCGGAAGGGTCTCGCCAAACTTCACCACCAGCTCCCCTTCGCTTCCTTCTTCGTTTTCTCCTTCCTGACTCTTGACGAAACCTGTCGGAGACGAGAAGCCCGGTGTTCAGAGATCAGAACGAGAACCAGATAGAAAAGATCCCTAGGGTCATCCCGCCCAGACCATCCTGCCTCTTCCCTCTGCAGGGACCCCAGCACATTTGGGAGTCGGGCTCGTTGGGGATTCTGTTTTGGTGCAGGGATGGTCATTTGCCAACACGGTTTAGTTATTTTGGGGAAAAATTAGAGATTCCCCCTTCTTTTCGGCTCCTCTTTGCAACAAACCTGGCGACAAAAATACCATCACTCTGCAGGCAGGGAGATGAGGACACATGACAGCTCTCCCCCGCCACTCAGGAGAGCAGCCTTTTGAAATGCTAATTTAAGCTTCCTAATATGCTGTTTCCATAGAAATGTATGCAAATGTCTCGATAGTTTATTAAAAACACCCACACAAAAATCCTCATCATTTTTGGAAGTGCTTTTGCCCCTGCTTGGTGAACCGAGGCCTAGAGACTTCATGGAGAAGGCGGGCCTGTCACCAGGACTGAGCCCCAGTGAGTGGGAAAAGGAAGGGGGCTGGTGGCACGTGTCTTCCTCCTGATTTCTAGAAGTATCCGGCATCCCTTGCGGAGCTGATCCCTTGCAGGGCCCACCCCCGCTCCCCCGCCCCGGTCCAATCACCACTACCCAGACCGTCTCAGCCAGGAGAGCTGGATCTTCTCACCGTGGAACAGCTTTAGACAACATGCCTGGGAATGTCACCTAGGAGTGTTTCCTAAACGGTTTGTGCTAACTACTGCTGGCCCAGAGGAGGCCACCTGTCTCGAGCTTGCACTCAGATGCTCCAGACCTCCGGGGAAAGAAGCCTGTGGTGCAGGAGAGAGCTGAGGACCCTGGGAAGAATGGGCGGCTACCAGCAGCTGCTCAGGGCCTGACACCGGCCTCTAGAAGCTTTGGATCTTCACCCTCTTGTTGAGATGAAGCCCCAGCTTGGGGGGACCCTCAAGTGGGCTATACCGCCCTGAGGGGCAAGGAGAGGATCCAGGTGCCCAGTCGCCTACAAGGGGCTGAGGGGTCAGCACGCCACCACTGGGTGTCCCCTTGGGCCCTCACTTGCAGCCCACTTCTTTGACCCCCTCTTGTGGTCCCCCCATCAGTCAGTCCTTCCCAGAGAGGAGAAATGGGGCAAAGTGCCATAAACGAAGGAGAAGCACTTGTGAGGAAGAGCCATGCCCGCCCCAACCAAAAGGAGGCTCAAAGACCGCGTACTCTCCAAGCAGCTTGAGTGGAACTCCAGGTAGAATTTGGTCTGGGACTTGGTCTTCAGGGTGGCGTAGCAACTGAGAAACTCGATCTGCCCTTGGCTGTCCACGGTCCCGGGTCCTGGAACAGGTGAGAACAGAGATTCAGTTCCACAGAGTACTTGGAGGTGGAGCGTTTCACATCAGCCCCGCAAATGGAGCTCCTTCTTGAGGTCCAGGGGAAGATGAGAGTCCAGGGGAAGGGGAGGTTTTCCCTGAAGTCCCACCCATGCACACTGAGTGTCCCCACTATGCTAATAGTGTCTCTGAGGAATCGCAACTGGCAGGGAGCAGAGCGGGAAGAGCCAAGGTTCAAGGGTCAAGTGCTAAGCTCACTACCTCCCCAGTTCGGGCAAAGAGAGCTTATATCATGCCTCGGCTGCTCCGTACTCAAGTTCATCTCATTTCTAAGTTCAGGTCGCAAGGGACACCTGCTCTTCCTTCCTCGGTTACTCCCCTCCCTTTACTCCTTTGGTTCATTTCTATTCAGTTAACTTTCTGGTAATGCTATATATTTAGACGACACTTTTTTTTTTTTTTTTTTTTTTTTTTCTTCAGGCTGGCTTTGAGCAGGTGTCCTGTCCTTCCAGATAAATTCTGAGCCACCTGGGAGCGAGGAGAGACATTCTCTTCCTCTGTCCCTCTCATCCTTCCTTCTTTTCTTTCTTTTCCCCGGCTTTATTGAGAAATAACTGACAAGTATAATCGTATGTATTTCAAGTGCACAATGTGATGATTTGATATACATTGTGAAGCAATTACCGAGGTCAAGATAATGAACACACCCATCCACCCCTCACATAGTTAACTGGTTGTTGTGTTTTTGGTTTCTGGTGTGGTGAGACTCTGTTCTCAGCGAATTTCAAGTACACAATACTGCGTTATTACTTACAGTCCCCATACTGGATATTACAACCCGAGAACTTATTCTCATTATAGCTGAAAGTTTGGACCCTTTAACTTATATTTCCTCGTTGCCACTACACCCCAGTCCCTGGCAATCACCATTCTATTCTGTTTCTATGAAATCGATTTAAAAAACAATTCCGCACAAAAGTGATACCATACAGTACTTGTTTTTCGTATGGCTTATTTCACTTAGCTTTCCTTTCCCTTTTTAAGACCCACAGCTCCGAGGTCAGGCTCTGCTTAGGTAGACGTTCGACCAATGCTTGATCCAGGTCATTGGTGTTCGTGAGCACCTACTGAGGGCTGAGTCTCAGTGGAGGGAATGCAAGCCTGCTACTGAAGATGTAACGAGGGTGCTTATCAAGGGTGTGATGGCATGGGCCACCCATCAATGCTGCAGAAGCTCAGAGAAAGGGGAGATGGGTAGGAGTTGTGGAAGGTTCTAGAAAGGCACAGTGGCCAGAGCTAGGAAGGAGACAGGATGGTGGGTCATGGCCGCGTGAGGAGGGGAGGTCACATTGCTGAGGAGCCTTAGACCCAACAGCATGGAGATGTGTTCCAGCCTCATCTACGGCCGTCACACACCAAGGACACAGAGTGACACAGGCTTTTCTATCCTATACCGGGCCCCCTACTCGGCCTTTCTAAATGAGCCTGGACTGTCTGCCCACCACAAGAGCAGGGGGTGGGCAGAGAAGGTGACAACATGGCTCCCTGGACAACAGAGCTGGACATGCCACAGAGAACACCAAGCCCCTGGTGGGACAAGGTGGCCCAGTGACCAGCTGAGCTGGATTATTTGAAAAATTACCTGCAAATCTAAGTATTATTTATTTCAGCATTTCCCTAAACTCAGTCACCTGCATCCCAGCTTCAGTTTTTACCAGCTCTGCCCACCACACACCTGCACTAATACTGACTCATCATTCTCTTTCCATGGACTCACTTTTTAAACGTAAATAAACATATTTAAATAAGAAGGTCTAGCATAAGGCTGACTGGAAATCAGTGTGGCTTGCCTCACGCAGAAGAGACCAATTAAAAAACCCATTAAAATAAATGCATTACTAATAAATAAATGGTCATCTAGGTCCCACCTAGAATCATCTTTGGTGGCAGACGTGCCATACTCATTCACTCGATTTTAAAGACTGTATTAGAACCGAGTCTTCAAAAGCTAACATATTTGTCGGAGAGCAAGACAATGCTCTGGATGGAAATCGTGATGCGGTGTGGACGTGAAGAGACCCGCCTGATAGACCGTGAACTTGATGAGAGGCTTGTCCAGTGCAGATGACTGATACAGCAAGCAGGGGACGAGCACACAGGGTGTCCTTCTTCGTGAAGACAGAGGGTCGGACGCTGCTTATGGCTTACCGTTCTTGGAGACAAACTGGGAGGTGACTCCTGCCTCAAATGTGGCAAAAACAGGGCTGTGGTCACTTGTCATGATGTCGCTGGTGCTGCCTGCAGGGGAGGGAAGGCATTTCTGAGCAGAGAAAGAGAAACTCTTCTGGTCAAGCCTAGGATGACAAACCCACGGCAGAAATAGACTCATTCTTATGGAAACCTCCAGAAGTTTCACGGTTTCGCACTTGTCATTCCACCGACCTTCCACAACCACACTCGAAAGTCTCAGCGAAAGCGTGTGACACTGTCTCCTCCATGGCTAAAATGTGCCTGTGCTAGTTTTTCCTAAAGACTCATGAGTTTTTAACTAGATTGTGGCATGTGAACTGTAGAGGTTTTTCTGGTCTACGTACGTTGTTGTATGGAGATAGGGGTTTAGGTCACTGAGCTCATCGGTAAGAGAGATGGCACCCACCCCCACCCCGCAGTGACTCACGGGATCGAGACAGAATGGAAGGTCATGAAGCAGAGACACTTAGTGTAGACAACCTTTTTAAGGAGCTTGGGGCTTGGATGAGAAGAGAATGCAGAAGAGCACGTTTGCAGGGAGTAAGAGAAAGAACACAGTTCTAGAAATACCGAGTTCTAAGTGCTTTTAATCGAGTCACGGGGAGAGGTCTGGCTGGGTATCGGGGCTGGGGATTTATCTTTAGATTTAGAGTCATGAGGTTAGGGGGAGGCAGACGCCACGAGGAGGTTTGGGCTTCACGGGGAAGACATGAAGGATGAGAAGAGCCGAGCTGGAAACTCCAGGACGTGCCAGCCATTAACGGGCGAAGGAAAAACAGCCCAGGAGACGGGAAGGCAATGAAACGGATTTACGTCCTTTTCTATAAAGCTTTTGCAAATCGGCAAGAAAAAGAGGAACATCCTTCTCTTTTGGGCAACCACCCAAAAAGATATGGACAGAAAATTCACGCGTGCGCGCGCGCACACACACATACACACACACACGCACACAGATGGCTAATAAATATGAAAAAAAATGCTCACTCGCTAACAACCATCAGAAAAATAGAGACGACAATGAGATGGGATGGAGAAAGAGAATGACAAGGAAGAGCAGGGACACTGGTCCTGGGAGGAGGAGGGAAGGAAGTAAAGGGCCCAGGTGAAAAGGTTAGCCTGGAAAGGGGGGACATCCCTCCTCTGAGACGGGAGGGAAGCAGGTAGGAGGGGCCCCTGCCTGAAACGCGTTTGGACGTGGACAGGAAGCAGTCGGTGAGAGGGTGGTGCTGCGTGAAGCAGAGGAGCACGGAAGGAGGGGAGTCGGGCTGCGTGCGGACCTCGTTTGTGGTGGCCGTGGACGAAGGGGTGTTCCAGGGAGCAGTTTCAAGGTGGACAAGCAGGCTTTCTTTTCAACGTTCTTTAAAATATTTCAGACATACACTGAACATGGTAGCAGCAGCGCTACACTCACTGTGCCCTGGAACCTGGGAGGCGGACCGTTCCCTGGGTGGTGGCTCCCCTGCAGCCACACTCTACGTGTCCCCCTCTCCCCCCACCGACAGTGAGTCTGGGTTTGGTCATGTGACTTCCTTTGGCCAATAGGACATTAGCAAGTGTGAGGCAAACAGAGACTTAAAAAGCATTTCCACATCTGAGACATGCAGCTGGGAACCATGGGACCAGGAAGAAGCCTTGAATGGACTAGTCTGCTGGATAAAGAGAGACTCATGGCTGAGTTACCACCATCAGCCAGCCCAGATCTGAGTGGGCTCCCGGCCTGAGTGTGCCCAGATGACTCCAAACAAAGCGTCCAAGTTCGGTCCAAAGAATCTCAGGCCATTGCTAAATGTCAGAGTAGTTTGCTACACAGCAATAGATAGCTGACTCATCTTATTTATGTCAATCACCAGAAGACTCGGCTCCTAGTCGACCCTCATTTCCCGAGCTCTGGATATTCGTTGCCTTTCCTTTCCCCATGTCTTGCCCACCTGCAACTCATTAAACCCTGCTACAGCGCCCCCAAACATTCAGTGAAACATCATTAGCAAAATTCCCCACATTCTCAACTTTCCCTTCATGGTCCAAACCCAGCCCTTCCTGGGAGACGCTGAGCCCCTCTGGCCCCATCCATGGGCCCAGAGAGGGGGAAGGTGTGTCTTCCTTGCTCCCCAATGCCACTTCCAGACCAACCTCCTTCCTTTCTCCTAAAAACCTCAACTATGGTGCCATCTTGAAAGCCAAGTTTAGATTCAAAGCGGTGATCCTACAAGCCACCCCTTTCTCCTGAATCTCTTCAGCGCTGGCTGAGGAAGGCAGACAGTTGAATCTTCCTGGAGATAAGAATCAGCAGGAGTTGCAGGGTGTGGGAGAGAGAGGCACCACCGAGAGAGGCCGGTGTGAGGACTGTGGCGTCCAGCCTAGCGGGGGTCACGGGCCTGGAGGGCTCAGGTGTGGCAGGGCTGAGGATGTAATATATAAGCGAGCGGATGCGGGCGGTAGGTGGGATTCAGGCCTTTGGAGGTTTTGAAGGTGAAACAATTCTTTGGCTGTGGTTATGGGGTGGGCGGTCTTTCCGCACATCTAAAGGTGTATATGTTTGCCTAGTGAAGTCACTTCCGTGGGACAGCTCAGGCGTTGGGGGGTGTAGGCTGCATGCCTCAAACCATCCAAGGTAGAAGGCCCAGTTCCTCCGGGCAGTGTGAGGCAGGCATGATGGAAAGCTGTGGAAGTCAGTTATGGGACGTAAGTTAATGTGGGAATTTGTTGATCCCCAGAGAGAGCGTGGGAGTCACAAAGCTGGCCACTGGGCAGTACTGAGGCTGGAGGCCTCAGGTGTAGGGCAGGCCTGGGGTCGTGAGCGGCCCGTCGGGGCTCTTGGCCTGTGACTTGGTCACATAAGGTACATGCTGGGGATGGGGTTGGTCCTCCTTTGCATGTCATTATCTGGAAATTTGCAATGTTTTAAAAATGATACCACAATTCCCAGTCAGTAATGTGTTGCAAGCAGTTCTGCTCCGTGAATTTTTAAGTGCATAGAGCAGAGTAGTTCCAAATACTGAGAACTAACAAGGAGCTTCTAAGAATGAGGACTCAGGCAATCGAGAATTCCTTCAGTATATCTTAAACTTCTAGGGTCAACAATTATTTAACTGTTTCGACAACTTTTCAATAATTATTTACTCTGGTATTGCATATTATCCCTTTTCCATCATTTTAACTCCATTTCTCCTTAAATTTTCCCCCAATACATGTGTGTATACTTATGATATGTATAAGGTGGAACCATGTGAATTTCCAGTATTCAAACTATTTCTGACCCACGAAAACACCACTTTCATATGGTTCAAACGTCAGATGCTCTTTTCATAAAAAAAAAAAAAAAAAAATCTGGATTTCTTTTTTTAAAAAGTGCTCCATAATTCAAACGTTTCTCCAACCAGAAGCGACCGTGTTGCTGCCCAAGATGGGAGAGGAGGAGCCGCTCCAGCCCATCGGGCCGGGGCTGCGGAGTGCGCTCCCATTTTACTGATGGGCAGACGGAAGCCCTTTAGTCTATGGCAGTCAGTCAAACCCCACAGCGTGCCACTCACCATAGGACTGACACACCACGTGCACCAGAGGGTAAGACTTCCAGAGGACTCGGTCACACCAGGAGGGCAAGTTGTACTTCATCTGCAAATCAAAGTCACAAGCTTTGTAAAAGGCTCCTTTGCATGCTAAAAAGCACGGTCAGTAAAAGGAAAAATTAACTCGTAACTGGGGTCATCCTCGAATTCATCTGCTGTTGGTTCTTTATAGAATTTCCACAACCGGTGATTTTAAGCCCTTTCACTTGCCTCAAGACCCAACCCCACTGCCATGATCCACACTTCAGACACCCTGGACTCCGGCTTTTGAACAAGAGTGATTTACCTGGCTGTGTTCTCTTACCTGCCCTCCTCACTACTTCATAGTCTCTTAAATTTTTACATTCTCTTACTTTCTTTTCTGATTCAGATGAACCTCTCCACCTGTATATGCAAACCAGTCTCTACTTATCCTCTCCAGCAACTTACTTTAATAACATACTCCAGCCACGTTTCCCCCCCAACCCATTCACATGTCCGTCCACTTATATACTTACCCACCCATCACCTACCCATCTACTTATTTATCCATCTGATCCATCCATCCATCTGCCCACATACCCACCCACCCATACACCACCCATATACTTATTCATCCACTGATCCATCTATCCATCCATCCATCTGTCCACATACCCATCCAGCCATCCACCCATCCACCCATCCACCCATCCACCCATCCATCCACCCACCCACCCATCCACTTATTCGTCTACTGATCCATCCATCCATCCACCCATCCACCCACCCACCCATCTACTTATTCATCCACTGATCCATCCATCTGCCCACATACCCACCCACCAATACACCACCCATATACTTATTCATCCACTGATCCATCTACCCACCCACCCATCTACTTATTCATCTACTGATCCATCCATCCATCCATCCATCCATCCATCTGTCCACATACCCACCCATCCACCCACCCATCCACCCATCCATCCACCCACCCACCCATAAATACACATACCCACCTACCCATCCAACCATTCAAACAATTTGTACTATGAAAAGCCCTCTCCAGGCTACACTGGTAAGCAAGACGTCTGCGGGGCGTGGTAGACAAGGCGACCTGGCAATGATAATAATCCTTCTTGACCCTTATCACCTTAAGTTTTAGCTCTTTCTCCTCTGCCTACAAATGTAAAGGTCCTCGCCCTAAAAGAGCCTACCCCTGCCATCTCCTTTTCTTCTTCTTACCAATTGTCTTTCAAGAATGTTCTGTTTTCATTGCCTCTACTTCTAGACTGCCCATTTACTTTTTTTTTTTTTTAAGGTACAACTTAGATATAGTAAAGTGTACTAATCTTAAGTGTATAGCATGAGAAATGTTTACATTTGTATACACCCATTTAACCACCACCCAGGTCACTATACGGAAATTTTCCATCATCCCCAAAGGTTCCTTCATGTCCCTTTCTTGTCAATTATATCACCTCCTAGAGGCGAACACTACTGCATCTAATGTCTCCATTGATTAATTTTGCCTGCTCTTGAACTTGTAAATGGACTTATTCAGTATACGGTGGACCCTTAGAACAACGTGGGTTTGAACTGCAGGGGTCCACTAATATGTGGATTTTTTTCAATTCATATATATGTACACTACCGTAAATGTACTTTCTCTTCCTGATGGTTTTCTTAATAACATTTTATTTTCTCCAGCTTACTTTATTGTACGATTACGGTATGTAATATATATAATACAAAATATGTGTTAATCGACTGGGTATGTTATCAGTAAGATTTCTGGTCAACGGTAGGCTATTAAGTCCTGGGGAGTCAAAAGTTACGTGCAGATTTTCGATTGCACGGTACCGCTAACTCCTGCGTTGTTCAGTGGTCGACGGTAAATTTCCTTGTGTCTGGCTTCTTGCACCATGTTGTCGCTTGTAGAAGTTCTTTCATGTTGGCACCGTGGTTGCGTTGCAGAGTATGTCTATCCCACACTTATCCTACTGCTGACTGAAGTAGAGGTGTTTGTAGGTTTTAGACATTATTTTAAAAAGCTGCTATAAACATTCTCGTATCTGTGACAAAATATACTGATATCTCTTGGGTACACACCAAAGTGGAATTGTTGAATCATGGGGTAGGTGCATGTGTAGTTTCACAGATGCTGACAAATTGTCACTGTTTTTTCTTTTTTACTTGCTAGATTACCAGTTGATTATAAAAGGTTATAACTCAGGAAGAGCCAGATAGGGCAGGGAATAGGGAA